GGTGTCCGCGGCCTCCCCTCCACAAGACCTGCCCGCGGCGTCGCCATCATTTGCAAGGCCGGGTATCATCTGTTACATTCGACGCCTGTCGCCTCTATTAGCAAACGACGGCGGGTGCGCGGCCACTAGGGTATCTACGGCCCCGACGGGGCTCCCCGGAGCGTTGGCGACTCCTGGGCTCCTCCGGCCGGCCGGCGTCTGTGTCTGGCTGCCCCGCCATGGACGGGCTGAAGATCTGAGCCTGGAAGGGGGCCAGGGGGGGGTGGGATGTGTATTCCTGGGGGAGGGTCTGCCTGGTCAGCTCTGCGGGGAGAAGCAGCCGGCCGGCTCCTGCTGCCGTTGGAATAGAAAGAGCCGGGAATTTGGCCCGTTTCTTACATCTTTAGAAGCCCGCCCAGGTTAATAATGGGGGTGGGTGGGGGGTTCCCTATATCTGTATCTGCATGTTTAGATATTGATCATTGATTTGGTTAGGTGAAGTGGTCCACTATCCTTTGACGTTTTATGGGTCCCTCCCCCAATTTGGGGATGATGAGGACTAGCAACTTAAAGCCACACCCTGCTCCCGATGGTTGGAAAATACCTGGAGACTTTGGGGGTGGAGGCTAGAGGGGGTGGGGCTTGGGGAGGACAGGGGCCTCAGTGGGCTACAAGGCCATAGAGCCCACCCTGCAAAAGAAGCCGTTTTCTCCAGGAGGGCTGAGACCTGTAGTCCGGAGATCAACTGTCACGCTGGGAGAGCTCCAGGCTGTACCTGGAGGCTGAGTGGCACCCCCATCTGGAATGGAAATGTGGTTGGCGTGACAAGCAGATGTTAAAGAGTGGTGGGAATGGAAGCTGTCGAAATAGGAGTGGGTACCATTTTGGGGGTGTCCAGTAGTGGGGACTAGGTACTTCAAAGGCAGTGTAGGGTTATCTCCTCTGCCACCACCCAAAACTGGAGAGTGGGTGGAATAAAAAGAAGTTAGTGGGCAGGATCAGGAAAACGTCAGAAATGCTGTTTCCCAGAGGGTGTCACTGTGTCAGGGAAACCCTACAAGCGCCTAGAGCCCCCTTTAAAAATTTTATTAAATTCAGGAGCATTTTATGGTGCTAGTCCTTAAGGAACCACCAGATGCCTCTAATCTGGGGAGTATTTTGAAGGCTGTACATTTGCTTCTGAGCAAGGGCGTTTAGGAGTTCTCTTTTAGGAGAGAAAGGGAAGGGTTTTATTATTTTGAAAGCCCCCATCCAGTGTTCCTAAGTTCTGGGGTTGTGGGCAGAAAATATTTGGGAGAGATGCCTGAATGCGAGAAACGCCACAGGGTTGTTGGGAAGATAAAATAGAGAAGGGGAAGAGGATGTTGGGTCCCCTCTGGGAGAGAGAAAAGACGGGGTAGAAATGTCTTAATGAACAACTAGTAAAGCTGATTAGTCTTCCCTGGGCAAACCGTGGGTCCTTGTGCTGAAAAAGTAGTTTTAGTGGTTGATTTCAAGGTGTCCACTTCAGGATTTTCCCGTAGCCAGGATTTTTTACTCCAGGGGGCATTTAGATAAGTTTTGGAAAGCATGTGCGAGAGAGAGGGCCGGAGTAGGGAGCAGACGTGCCCTGTGGTGTGCCTCGCCCTCAGCCAGCCAGAGGTACACTGCCAGTAGGCAGGGCAGGGCAACAGCTTGGTGCAGCTGTGGCACATGAGAAAAATAAAATAAAGCAGCTGGATGGGAAGTCGGGAGGCCTGGGTGGTACCTGGGTGGGCCTGACCCCGAGATGCCCCACTGTAGCTACGGGCCTGGTCCACTTTCAAAGGGTTCTTGAGATAATACCACAAGCCTTGAGCAATTAGATAAAGAACAATATGGTACATGATCCTATGCAGCGTTACTCCAGTCTAAGCCGATTGGTTTAATTGCACTGTGACTGGAATGATTCCACCTAGGACTGCTTTATAAGATGCCCATTTAGGGAAATGTAAAAGTAAGCCGAGGCTAGTCAGATCTTGGAAACTGAGCAGGGTCAGCCCTGGCCAGTAGCTGGATAGGAAACTTCCAACTACTGTGGTGTGGAGGCAGGCAGGGGCAAACCACCTGCGAATGTGTCTCTTGCCTTGAAACCCCTGCACGGTCGCCACGAGGCAGGTGTGACTGGACAGCCCTTTCCACCACCCAAACTAGGCACTTTGTTTATAGCAGAGCTGTCTGCACAGGTGAAATATCTCAAATCTGTCCCACTTATATTTGGTGGGCCCTCAGACCAAAAGGAAATTAGAGCATGCCCAAGATTTGAAACATGAAAAACAAAACGATGTATAATATATCTTCATGGAAGGAAACGTCCTACATTTCAAAAACAGGCTGCTGAATATTTTTAAAAAGCCAAAACAACAACAACGACAAAACTTGAGAGGGGTGAAACCAAAACTTTTCATTCTGCGCATAATCCTAAACCCTGAAGGAAGTTCAGTGGAATTTCCTTTGAGAGCCTAGGACTATAGCTCAAGCGGCCACAGAATTCCACTTAACCGCCACATAAACTGCCAGTGGAGCTTTGGCCTTTAAAATTGTTAACATTCCAAAGGGATGCCGGAACCTGGACCCAACCCGTGGAGGGAAGCGAGCTTGCTTGCCTGTGCCGCATATCTTTGCTGTTGGGCTCCAAACTATGGGGTGTGGACAGGATCACGTAGCCTGATCGCCCCTTAACCAGACCCACAGCGAAGATTTAAGGGTCTCTGTGGCGCAGATGTTACCCGGAGTGGTATACTCGGTTAGAGTGTCAGGTTAGAACCTGGGAGAGCTGAGTTTGAATCCCTGTTCAGCCATGGAAGCTTTCTGGGGGCAGTCACTCTCGCTCAGCCTCACCTACCTCACTGGGTAAAATGGGGGGAAGAGAGAATGGTGTGAACTGCTTTAGGACCCTGCTGGGGAGAATAGTGGGGTATAAATGAATACCAGATTCAAATGCATTGTCCTGCAGTGCCCCAGCAACACTCCTCCAGTTAAACGTGTGAAACAGCAGATATGGGGACGGGTAGGAGGCAGATCAGGGGGGAAGCCATTCTGCCGGTGCCACCAATCCATTAGATAACATTACTTCCTTCCTCCTGCCCATGTTGTCTTGCTATCCATTCACTATTAGAGCAATGTGGGGTGAAGTTATGGGGCACCCAGCGTGGTGCATTGTTTTGAGCATTGGTCAAGGACCTTGGAGACCCGCGTTCAAGTCCCCACTTTGGCAGCAAAGTTTGCCGGGTGACCTTGGTCCAGTCTTTCTGTCAGCCGAACCTACCTTGTAGGGGTGTTGTGTGGATAATAATATTGAAGTCTCTAGGATGTAGAGTTAAGGTATAATAATGCCTTATGAGGATGCACCAGGGATCACAAGCAAGTGTGCAATCTTTCAGGCTCCATAGAACTCTTCTGTGGGCTTCGTAATAAAGCCACACAGGTGTAGGGTAGGATAGGGAGGAAAGGATTTTCCTGGACAATTTGTAACAGTTTTTTAAAGTCTCTTTCCAATTCAGTCCTTTACTCGGAAATAAACTGCAGAACTGGGTGAGATTTACTTCCAAGTAACTGTGCAGACGATTGCAGTTGTAACTAATTAGATTGTGCCTAAGATGTCAAAATAATTAGCCTGCATTAGGTGTGCTGGAGCAGAGGAAAGCTCTGCCTTCCAGGAGACTCATGAGTGTGGAGACAAAGGTGCCTCACTGCTGGCTTTTACCTTTTCAAAGGGAGAGCAGTTGTGACTTCGTCTCACCACTCTCCCGAGATCTTCTTGCATAGGGCCATTCAAGCCCAATCGAGATTTCCCGGAGTTGCCCTTCTTGCTGTGTGCCGCCATCTTGGGAAATTGGGTGGATGGGTAGGTGTGAGAGACAGAGCCCCTCTCTGCCAGGCTATTCCTCTTATCTTTGAAAAGGCTTCCCTGCAAAGATTTGGCTGTTGGTTAGAATACTGAGCAGCCTAATAGCCCAGACTTGCCAGAGCTTGGAAGCTAAGGAAGGCCAAGCACAGTTAGCACTTGGAATGGAAACCGCCTAGGAAGTCTAGGGTTCCTGTGCAGAGGAAGGCAATGGCAAGCCACCTCTGCTCATCGCTTGGTCCTGGGGTCACCGTGCATCGGTTGCAACTTGATGGCACACAATTATTATAACTGTAATGTTGTTGGGCCGTATTATGACAGCACATTATACACGCACACACATACATTCTGACATCAGGAACAAACTACATTTTTTTGTCATCCGAACAAGCCTGAAATCCTCAAACTCACGTTCCCTCTTCTGCCCTCTTTCTTTCGCATACAGAGTCGATATCAAAGACTTTCTGGGTTCGGAAGGCTTCAGCCTAACCATGGTTTGTTAGTGATATGCAAATCGGGGTTCTGTAACAAAATGCTGGCTGGTGTAATCCTGCTCTTTGGTGTCTCTAGGACTGGGGTCCCAAACATGGTCCTCATGGGTGCCGTGGCATCTACAGACACCTTTTGTGGCGCTCGCCAAGTGTTTAGTGACAGTGAATGGGGCCAGGTTGGGCTTCTGCCCAGCGAAACGTCTGATTGGCCATTGGATTGACTGTGTAGATTTTTTTTAAAAACGTTGCTTTGGCAACAGCTGCCACCACAGCACAAGGATCTTCACTGTCTGACTGAAGGTAACCCATGGCAGCCATTTTGTGGCAGCCGTATTCTGGCTGCGCCCACCATACTGTGTCAGAATTCCGACTGACTCAAAAAGGTTGGGAAGCCCTGCCCAGCGTGGGGTATGTGATTCTCCCTTCCCAGAGTTTATCCTCATAACATCCCAGGGAGGTAGGATGTGCTGAAAGACTAGCTCGAGTTCAGCCTGCAATTAGCAGAGCAGAGGTTAGATTCAGATCTCCTTGCCTGCCTCGGTGATGTATCTTTGGTAAGAGTGTTGGGAGGCGTTATAGGCGTGTCCCCATGTCCCCATGGACATCCTAATTGATCTCCATGGCTTTTGAACAGGTTGTGAGACACACTGCACCCTCGATGGACTTTTGTGATCCGGCAGAACTCTGAGCCCAGGCAGGCGCGATGGAGAGTCCCCCGCCCAAGGAGAAGAAGCCCCCTCTGTTCTCTAAATATGACACCAAGCGGGCCGAGCAGAAGCCTGACACCAGTCAACCGACTCTGAAGAAAGTCAGCACGAAGACCGTGATAACGGGAGGGGCCGGCTACTTTGGATTCACCCTCGGCCGTGCGCTCGCCAAAGCGGGGACGGATGTGATTCTCTACGACATCAAAAAGCCTCTCTGGCCGATCCCTCAAGGTGTTGTGCTTGAGCAGGTATCCCGATTTCTCAGACCTGGATCCCATCTTGCTTGATCCGAAATGAGACACGTTAGACATTTATTTCCTGGGTGGTTGTTTATTTTTGTCTTGAAAGCTGTGTTTAATTTTGAAGTCCAATAATCCAGAGTGCAAGGTTTCCTGGGGTTTTCTTCACCCCAGTGGGGCCCCAAAGCCGCTTACAACCTTGTTGTGCCCTTCTCTGTCGTACCCCTGCATCAACAGGGTTGCCAAACCTGTTTATTCCTGCGGCAGGGGGCTCCCGGATGGCATCCCGGGTGTGTGCGTGCGCGCCGCATGCATTTCACCCGGATGTGACATCATGACGCCGGGCACACTGGGGGTGGGGCCACAGCCATTTGAGGGGGAAACTCTATGTTTTCCCCTCAAATGGCTGTGGCCCCGCCCCCAACGTGCCCGGCGTCATGACGTCACATCCGGGTGACGTGCACGCCGAGGTGGGGTTTCCCCCGGGGCCCGATTCCGCAGGGGCGGAAATCGGGCTTCCAACGCAGGGGGAAATCCGCCCCCCGGGGTGATTTGGCAGCCCTAAACGACCCTGTGAGGGAGGTTAGGCTGGGAGAGTGACTGGCGTAAGGTCACCCAGCAGGAGTGGGCTTGCAAATGTCTGTGCGGGCACCCATTCAGCCGGTGCTATGCCAATTGCACTGGCTACCGACTGAGTACTGGATATCTGTTGCAAGGTGTTGGTATGAACCCTTTAAGCCCTATGCAGCCTGGGACCAACATATCTGAGGGACCGCCTCTCCCCGTAGGTGCCCCGGAGAGCCTTGCGCTCAGTGGACCCTCATTTACTGGTTGTCCCCGGCCCAAAGGACATCTGCTTAGCCTCGACCAGGGCCAGGGCCTTCTCTGCCTTGGCCCCGGCCTAGTGAAACAAGCTCCCATCTGAGATCAGGGCCCAGTGGGACCCATTACAGTTCCGCAGGGCCCGTAAAATGGAGCTGTTCCGCCAGGCCTTTGGTTGATGTGGCAGGCATCCAATTATTAGGCCTCCCCTGCTGAAGCTCTCCAAACGTCATTAATAAGATCTCCACTGTCCCTTGGTTTATGGCCTAGTAGCCCGCAGCTATTTGATTAGCCCCCACTTACCTTCCACAAGGAATTCTATTGATAATGGTCTTAAAATTTTATTGTCTGATAAGTATCCGGTAATTACCTTGCCTGTTGCCAAATTCTTAGCCTATGTCTGGAAGTAAAGGGTAAGGGTGTAGAAGTCTTAATTTTCTTTGTGTCATTGGGATTGCTATATTACTAACTGAGTTTATCATTACTGAGAAGTTTAAAAATGACCTCTTGCTGGTGGAACTTGTTTTGATCTATTAATTTGTTCCATTATTTCCCCTATTGTTACTGTGTTATGCCAATAAAGGTCTATGTTATGTTATGTTATGCCTAGTAGCCTCCAGCCATTTGGGATGGCTGTACTTTCCTAATTTATTGTGCTACCTGCTTTTACAGTGTTCCCTCTAAGCTGAGTTAGTGTGAGTTAGCTCACAGTTTTTTAGCCTCCGGCTCACACATTTTGATCTTAGCTCAGGAAAAATGGCTCCAGAGCAAACTAATTTATGCAGTAGCGAAATCGCTTGCTCACCACTTTAATGCCAGTAGCTCACAAAGTAGAATTTTTGTTCACAAGACTCCACAGCTTAGAGGGAACATAACCGTTTTAATGGTTTTGTAATATTAGGGTTGTGACTGCCCTGAGCTTGCTTGCGGGGAGGGTGGGATATAAATTGAAATACATAAATAAATAATCAATTAATAAACCTGGGTCTCCCAGATCCTGGCCTGACATGCCAACCACTAGGCGAGGCTGCGTTTCACGTAGTCATTAAATTGGGTCCATCTCGGGCTGTTTACAGACACCTCTGGTAAGGTGTTATTGGTCACAGAAGGCATGGGGTAATGAAGCCAGGGGCAAGAACAGATTCTCCTGTAGGAGAAGGGACCTCAGTTTAATGGAGGGGTGCTTTATTCTTAGGTCTCCTGTGCTTTTAAGGAAAGTGTGGCGGTCAATCAGTCACAGCTTCAGTGGGGCAGACATTCCTGTGTGCCCGTGCCTCTCAGGGGGGCAGCCGTTGGCCTGGGCGTTCTTTCCCCCCACCCCTTTGGCCTTGCATAGTGTGATCCAGCTCCACTTCCACTTTTCTGGAGAGTGGCCCCTATCCAAGCCCATTCCAAAGACACCTGTGTTTTCTTAAGGGTGTGTGTGAAAATTTCTGCCAGTTCTCCCCTTTCCACTACACTCCCTCACGCACAAATTTTGGGCAAAGGGCTGAAGCAAGAAAGGGAAATGGGCAGAAATCGCAATTTAGGAAAGCAAACCCCAGAAAAATAAAAGATACTATCAATTAATTTGATTTCCTTGGCGGTCAATCAGCTCATGGCTCAAAAATTGTGAATGAAGTTTAGGCACATCCCTTGTGCATACTACTTAGCCACACCCAGGGCTTTTTTTGGAGGGGGGGGGGAACACGCCGGAATGGAGTTCCAGAACCTCTTCGTCAAAATTCTTTTTAAAATGTTTAAAAGTTTGTGAGTTTTCCGTATACAAATTGAAAACTTCATTTCCCTCTTGAAAGTTCCAGCACACAAACACCCAAAGCCACCACATATGCTGCTTAGCCACGCCCACCACAGATGTTGCTAAGTCATGCCCACTGTGCATGCTGCGACCTCAGGAGGAGGAGCATCCCTTTCCGTTGCTTCCTGGCATCTCCTTTGGAGGCATCAAGAATTAACCTCTTGTGTTCCAGGCGGATATCAGACATTACAATGACTTATACGCGGCGTGCGAAGGGGCTGACTGTGTCATCCATGCAGCTGCCTATGGAATGTCGGGGATAGAGCAAGTGAGTATCCTTCCCCCTTCTTTCTAGCCTTGGGCTTTTTGCATAAGGTCTGGCTACGTGATGGCGGGATGTGGAATGGTATATGGCGCAGCCCGATCTTGTCAGATCTCAGAAGTTAAGTAGGGCTGGTCCGTGGCTGGGAGACCACCAAGGAAGACTCTGCCGAGGGAGGAAATGGCAAACCTCCTCTGCCTCCCCCTTGCCTTGAAAGCCCCTTACTAGGCTTGTCATACGTCAGTTGTAACTCGAGGGCACATACATACATATGTGATGGAGCCGCTCTGCCTACGATTTCTGTCTGCTCCCACCTTGTCAGTCAACAGTGCCGTCCTGAGTAGAGTGGTGCCCTTCTAAGTCCACTGAAGGCTTGCAAGGGCGCAGAACATGACTTAGGATGGCTGTCTAAGCACTCTTGTCCTTCCTGGTGTGCCAGCTTCCTCAGAAGAGACAGCCCGAGTTCCTGAAAACGAACGGAATCAGTAGATCTTTCGAAATGCTGCTCCAGCAGCTGGCGTGGCATCTAACCTCTCTTTCCTCTTCTAGTTACACAGGAGAGAGATTCAGTCCGTCAATGTCAGGGGCACCGGAATAGTCATTGAAGGTACGTGCCACGTCTGGGCTTTGCTTCTCAGCGCAGCATTCCAGCCCTGGCTCAGAAGCATTTCAGTGCAAGGCATGACCAGCCTGGCCGTGGTTCCTGTACAGCCAAGAGATGCAGTTTTGCACAGATGAAGACTGCCAGGTTGCCTTCGACCAGGGCAGGGTCAGCTTAGAGCTTGGCTTTCCCTCTGGAAGGGGGATGCTGCTTACATAATAACGTTTGCAGGAGGCTTTAGAAACGCAATAGAAGTCCTTTATAGCAAAGAAACTCCATACTTTGATAGAACAGAAAGAAGAGGCATTCTGTCTCTGCTAAGAGCAGGGTTGGCAGCCCTCTGCCAGCAGGAGACACATTCAGTCCACCTGTTGGCAACCTTACCCCCGGGGAGCTTTGGGGGCTGGGGCATCACCTCCACATAGGGCCCCAGATAACAGATTCCTTTCCCTATTGTTGGTTTTCATCCGATGCGACGCTTCTTCTGTGTCCCTCTGCAGTCTGCAAGCGACGCGGCGTCCCCCGGCTGATCTACACCAGCACGGTCAACGTGGTCTTTGGAGGGCAAGCGATTTTAGACGGGGATGAGGAGAGCGTGCCGTATTTTCCTCTGGCTGAGGTTTGTGGGCTTTCCAGTCTGGCTGCAATGGCTTACCAGGGGAGGATGTGTGCCAAAAATGGTGGGTTTTTTTTTAATATATGGGGATAATCCAAAGCACATTTTGGACAACGTTACAAAGTTCAAGTCCCATGGCACCTTGAAGAACAACAAAGTTTAATTCTGGGTATAAGCGTTTGTGTGCATGCAGACTTCTTCAGTATCTGTTATCTGAAGAAGTGTGCATACCCATGAAAGCTTATACCAGAATAAAACTTCGTTGGTCTTAAAGATGCCACTGGACTCAAAAACTTTGTTCTGTTGCTTCAGACCAACATGGCTACCCACCTGAATCTCTGGACAATGTTGCTAACTGGGCCGTGCTTTGTTAACTGGTTGGTGGGTTCAGTCTTATATGTTTACTTTACACTGGCTTGTCACGTATTACTACCTGTCTTGGCTCTTTGGTATTCCCCCCACCCCATTTATTAATGAATCACATCATTCTATTTTGTGCTTTCCTTTTTTAGCATGTTAACGAATATTCCAGGACCAAATCAATTGCCGAGCAAATGATCTTAGCGGCGAACGGATCACCCCTGGCAGGTACTGTTCCACCCACGCACTGTGAGCCTACACTGTTTCTTGCGTCGGTGTAATGAGTCGGCGGCCTGGGTCCCAATCCGTGGAAGTGCTGCTTTTCTCAGGTATGCGTTTGGGACCAAGTATCTAGTTTCGAACCACACCGTGTGAGTTGTAAGCAGTAAAATCCCCAGTTCAGGTCTCTGCCTCTGCTAGGGTTGCCAGCCCCGGGTTGGGGGTTGAAGCCTGGGGAGGGGAGAGACCTCAGCAGGGATGCGATTCTGTACAGACTCTCCTCTGAAGCCTCCATGTTCTCTAGGGAAACTGATCTCCGTCATCTGGAGATCATGTGTCATTCCAGGAGACCTCCAGGCCTCACCTGGAAGCTGGCAACCATAGCATGCACCGTGAGCTCACCAGGTGGCTTTAGACAGGCCGTCGGTCAACAGATGAAGCACCCTTTTTTCGGGCTCAGATGGCTGGTCCACCCGGCTCAGTATCGCCTCCCGTGACTGGCCCCAGCTCCCCAGGGTCTCAGGCACAAAAGAAGGTCTTTCCCAGCATCCTGCCCTCTGGCGACCGAAGGTCCCGAGATCTGACCTGGGATTCTCTGGATGCAAAGCCAGCTGCTCTGACACTGAGACCCCTCGGCCTTCCTTCACGCCTACCCCCTCCCCATTTGCAATCTGAGAAAGTGACACTTGATAACTGATATGTGTAAGGCAGTCTGTGTGTTTGAAGCGCATTCTATAAAGGATTTATTATCGAGTGTGTCTGAAAGCAGAGCTGAGTCTCTGCACCACGGAATTATAGAGTCTGGTGGCTTGAGGAATAAGTCCACACTGAGACTTTCTACTTGGGAAAGAAATGGAAGTTCTACAAGACAGGGAAAGCAGAGTAGAAGCTTCTAGCTATTTAGCTACGGTAAGCTAGGATGGAGAAAGATTGTAGAAAGCGTGCCCAGCCCTCATAGTGGACAGAGGAAGAGAGAGAGAGACAGAGAGAGAGAAGGGAAGTGGCTAGAAGGAAACCCGAAGAATAGCATTCTGGGTAACAAAGGGACATCTGCAGGAGTGGACAAAGGAAAGGTCAGGAAGCACCCTTTATTGACTCTCTGCTGGCCCTGAGACTGCGATGTCTGTGCTCTCCTTAAGCAACAGAGGACAGTCTTCCTTCCAACAGCCTCATGGGTTTCATGGGTCTAGATATTCCACAGGGCACACGGACCCCAGCAGCCAATGAATGCAGCCCCAGTTACCTCTTTTCCAAAGTGGGTGTTTCTATTTTGAAGCCACTTGTTGTGGCTCTGGATCCATGCGGCCGCACAACCACGCCACAAACAGAAGACCGAGCCTGCTTGTTTGGGGACGGTCTGATCTGCACCGGTTTCCACTTCATGCCACAACCCACCCCCTCCCTGCCTCCCCCATTGACCCCCCACCTCATGCTACACCCCACCCCCTTCCTGAGGATGCCCAGAATGCCGATTCCGTCCTGTCTTGTTTCGTAGGTGGAGGCAAGCTGTCTACCTGCGCCCTGCGTTCCCCTGGCATCTACGGGCCGGAAGAGCAAAGACACATGCCCCAGATGGCGGTACACATTGGACTCGCTCCAAACTCTTTTCTGCAAAACTGTACTGGCTATTTTAGCATTGCACCAGCTGTGGGCAGTGGCCTCTGGGCACCAGTGGTCATAAATGATTGGAGGGGGGCAGGGGATCCCCCCAAAAACAGCACTGGGGGCCATTTGCAGCTATTTGTTGCGGGGAATGTGTTGGTTCACTTCTGATGCTTTTAAAATTCTCCCTTGCTTAGAAATTGGAGAGTAGAAGCCCCACTGCACAACGTAGAGTGAGATGGGTGGCACCAAGTAGCCCAAACCATCCCGTGGCAGATTGGCTTTTCTTTTTTTTTCTTTTTACCATTCTTAGGGTATATTTGTGGCAGATGTAGCTGTGGCAAGAAGAAGAAAAAAAGAAAGTCACCCTGTGTAGGCAAAGAATCCTTCCATGTTGGATCCCCCTCTGGGCATAGAGCAGGGGTTACGGGGGGAGTGGGGGGGGAGGTAGCTGTGAATTTCCTGCCTTGTGTGGGGGGGTTGGACTAGCTGATCCTTGGGATCCCTTCCAACTCTATAATGTTTCTATGACCCAATGTGTGTGTTTTGCATAAATAGCAAGTGAGTTGCGTAATATGCCAATAAACAGTCTGGATTTGGAATGCAGGAACCTCATCAAGGGGAAGATGTCTGGCATTTAACCTCAGATTAGAGATTCCTTTTTCATTATTATTATTATTTTGACAGACTTATGTTAAGAGGCTGCAAAAAGTAAAGCTGTAAGGTTAGACGTTTTAAAAACGAGGGGAAAAAATGTAAATATCCATCTGCAAATCATGTATAGGTTTCCAAAATGGTACGCAGGGTCCCCAAATAATAACCTACGTGGTTTTAGACTTTCTATCAGACATCCAGGTCTGGTCAATTTAGCTGTTATCGCAATCTGCCACCATTTTTTTGCAGCCGTTAACTGGCAATTGTTGAATGTCTCCAACTGGGAATGTTTTGTATGAATCCCAGCAATGCCGTGTGTTGTTTCCTGTATTCCGACAGCTGAATATCGAAAGGGGCCTGTTTAACTTCAAAATTGGGAGTTCTGAAACGTTCATGAACTGGGTGCACGTCAAGAACCTTGTGCAGGCCCATATTCTCGCTGCGGATGCTCTGACTCCCGAGAAGAACTATATAGCGGTAGGCCAAATTCTTCAGCTTGCTTCCCCTTTCTTTGGGAAGAAGCTTTGCATCCATTTCTCTCACCTGTGTTATATTCATTAATATTTTTTAAATGAAAAAAAAGCTAATGCTGGTATATGGCTCAGAACCACCGCAATAACGGGGGGCAGGGAGAGACTCTATTAGGCAGTAAAATTGGCTTCGATGCAAAGAGCCATGAGCGAAGGGAAAAGAGCCCCTAGCTCTATTGTGCAAATCTCTGTGCACAAGAATGTTTGTGGTGTTGTAATAAGCAGGCCTAGGCCAGGAGGGTGGGGGGGAAATTTAATACATCAAATCAAAATCAACCTACATGGTGTTGTAATAATCAGGTACTGTACTAATTCTCCTGCTTGAGCTTGGGTATGAAGTTGCCTGTTGACGGCCCCTGCTGCAAGGAGCTTACAGTCTAAAATTTGCCACAAAGGAGGCAAGAGAGAGACAGGAAGATGTTGGGGGGGGTTGAGGATAAAAACAGAAGAGTCACCATTCAGTAGTTTCACGGCCTGAGGCAGTGTGCATAGGGGAGGGGAGGAACTAAGGTTCATTTTCAAGGCTTCTGTGCAGGCACAGATGGGACTGCAGTATTGCAGGCCAACCACCGGGAGGAGCTAGCGAGCTTATTTCTAGAAATTTCACTCCAGAGAGAGCTAGGCTCCATCCAGGAGGCGGTTTCCCGCCCAAAATACCACCTGACCTGGGCGGAGCCTGCCCTCTCCCCTCAGTTCTCTTTCTGCCGCCACCAAAAGAGGACATGTTCTTTTCAGCGAGCGAACAAACTGTCTGAGGGAAGAGAATTTTCCTCAGAAATGACTACAAAACTGAAAGATAAAGGACAAGGTGGCCCTCTTCAAAAAATGTAAGAGCTGTGGCGCGAAAATGGCACAGACTGATGAGCACTCGGCCTGTGTGCTCTGTCTGGGAGAGACCCATAATATGGCCGCCTGTAAGGCCTGTAAAGCCCTTACTCCGAGAGCTCGTGAAGGGAGGGCAGCCCGACTGAAAGCAGCGCTTTGGGAGAGGGCCCTTTCCGCTGCTCAACATGAGAAAGCTAAGACCCCTTCTGTGTGCTCCGCACCGATAGCACCACAAGCTTCTCCTGCGGTCGGTCAGTCTCGCGCTGGCTCAGTACCACCGGCCAAAAAGGCCAAAAAGCAAAAGAAAGCGCAAGAGCATTCTTCGCCTCCGACAAGGCTCGGTACCGAAGACGCCAGGCCCGAAAGCTTGCCGCCGACTCAGCGCCGAAGGTCGCCTTCACCTCGGGACAGAAAAGCTTCGGCGCCACACTCAACGTCAAGAGGACGCTCTCCTCGGCGCCGAGACAACTACTCGGCACCAAGCGGTCAAGAGCAACTTGCCTCGGTTCCAATGCTCGGTACCGAAGGGTCCCCGATGTTGGAACTCTGCCGTGCAGATCGGTCGCCTTCCCCAGATCTCCTGCTGATGGGCTCCCTCAGTCCTGCGTCGTCTGTGGATTTGCAAATGCCCCCACCGTGGCATCCCTGCCAGTGTACCCAGGGGTCCTCTGCAATCCTGCGGCAACAGTCAATATCGCCCATGATTGTCCAAGGGGAACCCATCGATGACGCCTACTATGATCCAGAGACTGTAGTCTTGACCATGGAGTCACAATCTGACGCTGACTCTGATGTGAGGTCGCTTCCTTCACCTGAAGAGGTGATTGCGGACCCGGCAGCTGTATCGCCATCCGAAGATTTATCGTCGCTTGCAGACCAGATTATCCGGATGGCCAAAGCCTTAAATTTAAGGCATGCAGCGTCTGAACAACAGACCCAAGATCCGCTCATGCAGACGTTGTTCACCCCAGATACTGGCCCAGTAGCCCTGCCATGTCTTCAGGGGTTGCAGGAGGTGATGATGGCAGCATCCTCCACGGCTCCATCCGGAAGATGGATGGAAGGACTTTATAAAGTCATTGACTCTGATGTGCAATTTCTTACGCGACATCCCCCACCGAATTCATTTATTACTGAAGTCATTCCAGCTCATACTAGGGTTGGGGCGCGTACTACTCCCAACGATAGGGAAGGCCGTAAGCTTGACACAATAGGCAGGAAGATCTATTCTTCCGGAGCCATGGGGTTACATATATCTAACTTCCAGGCTGTCATGGGGCTCTACAACCACCTCTTGTGGGATAAGTTGACCCCTTATCTTGACCAACTCGAGCCAAACCAAAGATGTCTGGCTAAGGTCATAGCTGAGGAGGGCAAGTGTTTAGGAAAACGGCAGGTCAATGCTGCACGCCATAATACTGATTGCCAAAGTAGATCTATGGGATCCGCCATAGTCTTACGTAGACATGCATGGCTTAGATCAGGGGTGGCGAACACGCGGCTCTCGAGCCGCATGCGGCTCCCGGGCAAAATGAATGCGGCTCTTTGCCCGGCACTTCCTCGGCGCCCGGGGCGGCTCTCCGAGGCCGAGGACGCCGTGCTCTGCCCGTTACATATATCTAACCTCCAGGCTGTCATGGGGCTCTACAACCACCTCTTGTGGGATAAGTTGACCCCTTATCTTGACCAACTCGAGCCAAACCAAAGATGTCTGGCTAAGGTCATAGCTGAGGAGGGCAAGTGTTTAGGAAAACGGCAGGTCAATGCTGCACGCCATAATACTGATTGCCAAAGTAGATCTATGGGATCCGCCATAGTCTTACGTAGGCATGCATGGCTTAGATCCTCAGCGTTACCCCTTGATACACGAGCTAAACTTGAGGATCTACCCTTTGAAGGGAAGGTGTTGTTTAGTCAAGAAACCGATGATTTCCTAGAACGCATTCAGAAATATAAGTTGCAGGCCAAGTCCTTTGGCATCACTGCTTCCAGTAATCCTCCACAAAAGTCCAGGTATTGGCCTAAACCTTCACAATGTTATTCCCACCCATACCGCTTCCATGAGCCCTTCCAGAGGCAGTCGTACCAGCCTCCTAGACAAACATACCAGGCGTCGTATCAGAATAGGCGTCAGAGATCCAAATTTCCGTCAGGAAATAGAGCTGAACGTGACCAACCTTCTAGAGGGACAGAGATCCCGTGACTAGACCGGGTACCACAGTTTGGGGTCCGTTTATCCCTGTTCATGACAAATGGTTGGCAATTACTGATGATAACTGGGTGTTATCTGTAATAAAGTTTGGTTATCTGTTGGAATGGTTATCTTATCCACCATTGCCCTGTGTATCTTTGTGTCGAGACAACGTCATCCAGACATTATCGGACCCAGTGTCATCTCTTTTAAACAAAGGGGCCATTGAAGAGGTCTCTTCGGAGGATGACCCTGGGTTCTGCTCCCCCTTTTTCCTTATAGATAAGATGGGTGGTGGGCAGAGGCCTATTCTAGATTTACGGAACCTAAATAGTTTTCTTCGGAAGCCAAAGTTCCGTATGCTGTCAATACAGGACGTTATTTTACTACTGCGACCTGGATATTTCTTTGTCACTATTGATCTGACTGACGCATATTTTCATATAGTGATACATAACTCTTGTCAGAAGTTTCTCCGCTTTCATCATTGCGGGTGTTCCTTCCAATATAAAGTACTACCTTTTGAGTTGGCATCCGCCCCGAGGGTGTTTACAAAATGTTTATCTGTAGTTGTAGCACACCTCAGGTTACAGGGATGTACCCTTTATCCATATCTTGATGATTGGTTGCTGGTTGCAAACACACCTCAATTACTCCACTCCCAATTGGAATTGGTGCTGGATACGTTGCAATCGTTGGGGTTGTTGGTAAACTTCCAAAAGTCCAATCTCTCTCCTACTCAGAGGATTGAATTTGCGGGAACGGTCCTTGACTCAATATCCGCAAGGGCCTATCTACCCACAATCAGAGCTGAGCGTATTGCCACTCTCATTCGGGCCCTCCGCCAGCTTAGGCGAAGGCACGCCTCGTTTTTCCAATGTCTTTTAGGGCATTTATCTGCAACCACATCTGTAGTTCCCTTTGCCAGACTAAATATGAGGGTGTTCCAGAATTGGTTTTTGCGCAACTTTCACGCTCATATACATTCGCCTAGGGTCAGTTTAACTATACCTCGTGTAGTCCTCAGATCCTTAGACTGGTGGCTCTCACCATCAGACATAGGGGCAGGCATCCCCTTTGGATTCCAGACGCATGACATCCATCTATTTACTGATGCATCCCTCCTGGGTTGGGGTGCCCACTGTGGGTGGTTGGCAGCACAGGGTCTATGGACCGCAGAGGAATCAAGATTACACATCAACATCTTGGAAATGAGAGCAGTGAGATGTGCCTTTTCCTCTTTTGCAGCACGACTACGAGGACAGAGGGTGATGCTTCACACAGACAACACCACTGTCCAATTTTATGTGAACAAGCAGGGAGGTACCATGTCGGTGGCCCTCACCAAAGAAACCCTGAAATTATGGCACCAGGTCATACAAATAAAGGCGCACGTTACGGCAATGCACATAGCAGGCCGGTTAAATGTTCGTGCCGACCAGCTGAGCAGGGTGTTCCACAACACGTACGAGTGGTCCATCAACACTCAGTACCTGCATCCACTGTTCCATTGTTGGGGCACACCCATAGTGGATCTTTTTGCCATTCCACACAATGCCAAGTGCGAAAGGTTCTGCTCCAGGGCAGCCTACGCACACCATTCCCTGGGGGACGCCTTCGATATTCCATGGACAGGTCCCCTCTGTTATGCGTTCCCACCTCTACCACTTCTAAACCGAGTGGTGGCAAAAGCTCACGCAGAAAATGCGAACCTAATATTAGTGGCCCCGTTTTGGCCCCGCCAACCATGGTTCCCGAACCTCTGGTCGCTGGCACAGGGACATGTCCATGTGTTCGCGGAGGGCACAGACCTAGTATCAGGTCTTCTTCCGTCCGACCCGGGGATTCCATCCCTCAAACTGACCGCCTGGCGGATTCGGCCCGGTCGGCCTACTGCCCGGAAGTGTAGCACATACTTTTAGCCGCTCGTAAATTGTCGACATGACAATCTTACGAAGCAAAGTTCAAACTCTTTTCTACATGGTTATCATGTAGAAACGTGGATCCTACTAACTGTGGGTTGCCTCTGGTGCTGGAGTTTTTAACCCACCTTAAACAGGAAGGTTTATCCAATTCCTCTCTTAAGGTGTATTTAGCTGCCATTTCAGCTTACCATGTGCCTGTAAGGGGAATGTCACTCTTTGCCTCTGATGATGCGAAAAGGTTTCTCCGGGGTCTCAATAACTTGTATCCCCCTTCCCAGTTGCCTCTGCCTTCGTGGAGTCTCTCTGTGGTTTTATCTCAATTGATATATAAAGCGTTTGAACCACTAGCTACGTGTGAACTATCATTTTTGTCTTACAAAGTAGCGTTCTTAGTGGCAATTACGTCTGCCAGATGAGTTGGGGAGTTAGCGGCACTGTCCACAGAGTCACCGTTCCTCAGGTTCCATAAAGATAGAGTGGTCCTCCGTCCTCTATCTACAAAGAACACAACCTTTTCGTAAGGCGTCTGCTTTCTTTGCATGTTTTGGGGGACCGAAACACGGTACAGCTGCCTCGTCGCAGACTATCTCCCATTGGCTTTGCAAAGCTATTCAATTGGCGTATGAGGGGGCGGGTAAACAATGCCCCTTGGTGTTGTCTGCACACTCGACCCGAGCTCAAGCAGCGTTGGCGGCGTTTCAAGCAGGATTGCCCCTGCTGGAGGTGTGCAGAGCGGCCACGTGGTCAACGCCTTCGACGTTCGTCAAACACTATGCAATGGACGTTGATGCGAGGAGGGATGCAGCGATGGGCACGGCTGTGCTGCAGTCGATATTCCGCTGAAGTCTCCCACTCCCTCCTCCAAGTGAGTAAAGCTTGCTAATCTCCCATGTGGGACTGCACAGAAGCCTTGAAAATGAAAACGGTGGTTGCTTACCTGTAACCGTTGTTCATTGAGAGTGGCTTCTGTGCAGGCACACATCCCTCCCTCCTTCCCCGCTGTGGGAGTCTTCCGCTCTATGAATGCGGCAGAAGGAGAACTGAGGGGAGAGGGCAGGCTCCGCCCAGGTCAGGTGGTATTTTGGGCGGGAAACCGCCTCCTGGATGGAGCCTAGCCCTCTCGGGAGTGAAATTTCTAGAAACAAGCTCGCTAGCTCCTCCCGGTGGTCGGCCTGCAATACTGCAGTCCCATGTGTGCCTGCACAGAAGCCACTCTCAATGAACAACGGTTACAGGTAAGCAACCACCATTTTTCTGTGACCAGGGTTTCATGGAAAAGGTGGCTTCTGAGGAAGGATTAGACAGATGTGAGGGGAGGCATCACACAGCTGTCCTGGGAGCTGATCCAAGCATAAGGGATGTGGCTTTGGCAGCCACTGCAACTAGTGTTGGTTTTGTTCCCTCCAGGGGTCATTTCGTAGAAAAAGAGGTGCAGGAGCTCATTAGCATAACTCATTAGCATAACTCATTTGCATATGCCACACCCACTGACATCACCGGACATGTGCCAGAAGGCAACACCCACCGCTCAGGCTCCACTGGAGTGTTTTGGATTGCTAGCTATTGGGGGAACGTGCAGATCTGTCCTCGCAGAGGAGGGAGAGCTTGTACCTGAATAAAACTTGGTCTTAAAGGTGCCACTGGACTGTTTTGGACCAGGGGGCCGGGGGGGAGCTCTGCAACTTACCTGGCTGCTTCTTGCTCTGACTGAGGGCTGCTGGGAGCAGGGGGCAGGGTTTGTTGCATGTGCCCGCCCCCTGGGCTCTTTACTGCCGGAGCTCCGCTCCTGTGCGCTCCTGCAGGAAAAGACACCTGGTTCCCTCCCTCCTCTTTCTCAAGGCCTTTTTAAAATGACCCCTCTTCTCCCTTGCAATTTGACTTTTCTCTGAGTGTGCGAATGGCTCCCCCTCCCACAGCGGCAGCCATTTTGTGGCTGCGCCCGCCACCCTTTGTCAGAATTCCAAAAGGGCCCAAAAGGCTCAGAAGGGTGGGAGTCCCCTGCTCGGTGGCATCACACACATCCCTCCTGAGATCCCGTCTCTCCCCTAACCCCGCCCACCCTCCTCTCCGTACCCAGATCTCCACGTATGCCCCAACCCTAGTCGATAAGATTGCTCATCTCTCTCTGCCTCGCTCTCTGTCTCTCTGTCTCCTCCTCATGATCTTCCAAGGCTGGCCAGGCGTATTTTATCAACGATGGCGAGAAAGTTAACCTCTATGAATGGTTATCTCCGCTGGTAAGTACGAGAACGTCCCATGTTGCCGTTTTACCACTACACAAATGCTTTTGTCTTAGGAAACTGTACTAGGCAGGTGGCCTTTTGGGAACCCACCCTCTGCTGCTGGGGAAGGGCCACCATATCCAAAGGTGTGTGACAGGGCAATTCAGCACAGAATGATCACCCCATGTGGTTTGATGCTGCAGTTCTCTTCGGACAGAAATAAGAGTTTAATGGAGTGTGACACTCTAAGTGTTGTCAAATGTTGGTTTGTTTTTTTGAAACAACCCCCCCCATCCCCGGAATGAGATTTTTGTAGCGTGCCACAGTTTGTACCAGGCCGGATCCCTCTTCCCCCACTCCATCCAAAATGTGAAATTACTAGCAACGGCAATCGGGTGCTTTTTGAAAAATTATCCCTCTTTTATCAGTAAATGTTTCCCAAGAATGCCCTTTTCGCGAGAAGCCCGACTTTATATCAAAGCCTAAATCTCCTTCTTGTTCAATATTTGAATTTTTCTTCCAGTTTGAGAAATTAGGGGCTCGGAAGCCATGGATACGCGCTCCTGTTTTTTTAGTTGACCTGTCAGGTAAAGTACTTGCTGCTGATTTGACGCTTCCGTCTTTCTTATGATATCCCCCTCCCACAGCCTGCATGAACATTCGCAATGATGACTGTGATAGTTAATTTCAGGCGGGGCAGCCGTGTTGGTCTGAAGCCACAGAACAAAGTTTGCGTCCAGCAGCATCTTTAAGACCAACAAAGGTTAATTTTGGGTATAAGTTTTTGGGTGCAGGCACACTTCTTCAGATAACTTCTTCAGATACTAAAGAAACATGCATGCACGTGAAAGCTTATAGTAAAGGTAAGGGTAAAGGTAAAGGTTTCCCTTGCTTGAAAGCCAGTCAGATCCGACTCTAGGGATGCGGTGCTCGTCTCCGTTTCCAACCCGAAGAGCCAGCGCTGTCTGAAGACGTTTCCGTGGTCATGTGGCCGGCATGACTAGACGCCAAGGTGCAAGGAATGCTGTTCCCTTCCCACCGAAGTGGTACCTGTTTATCTACTTGCAATGTCTTGCTTTCGAACTGCTAGGTTGGCAGGAGCTGGGGCCAGAGACTGGAGCCCACTCCGTCACATGGCACCCGGGTCTCGAACTGCTGAACTACCGACCTTCCAGTCTGCAGTTCAGCGTCTTAACCATTTGAGCCAGAATTAAACTTTGTTGGTCTTAAAGATGCCGCTGGACTCAAACTTTGTGACAGTTAATGTGGGAGGTGCTGTGGTGTAGTGGTTAGGGTACTGGCCCAAGGGCCTAACCAGACATTACTTCAGTGGTTCCCCATCAGTGGGCTTCCTGGTGCCCGTTAGCCCCCCCCCAAACAAAGAGCCAGTCCAGGCTTTCCTCTGCCTTAGTGGAATGGGGTGGGGGGGTTCCCAAAGAGGCCAGGAGGTCCCACCTTTGTGTCTGCAGGGAGCATCTAGAAACATTAGGGTTGCCAGCAGTGTTCCCTCTAAGCTGAGATAGCGTGAGCCAGCTCACAGTTCTTTAGCCTCTGGCTCACACGTTTTTGTCTTCGCTCAGGAAGGAGGGCTCCGGAGCAAACCAATTTATGCAGTAGCCAAATCGCTTGCTCACAACTTTAATGCCAGTCGCTGACAAAGTAGAATTTTTGCTCACGAGACTCCACAGCTTAGAGGGAGCCTTGCTTGCCAGGCCCCTACGTGCTGCCGGTGAGGGGACAGAGCTTTCTTTCCAGGATGTTCTGGTGCATGCGTCAGAAGTGACGTCATGGTGCAAGGCACGTCACCTGGTGGACTCTCCAGCATTCAGCCAGAAACTCTATGGTACCATAGAGTTTTTAGGCTGAGTTCTAGAGCGCCCACCCCGGCAACATACCTGACACGATGGCTCGATCCCGGCACTTTGGGGGCGGGGTTTCCCCGCCCGCTGAATCCAGGCTGGTGGATCAGGAGCCTCTAGAACAGGCAAACCCCCCCCCCCCCCGGGGGAATGGAAAGCCTAAGAAACACCTGCCTCTCTCAAAGGGTTGCTAACTTCCCGGTGGGGCCTGAAGATCTTCCGCTGTTATGGCTGGTCTGCAGGTGACCAAGATCAGTTCCCCCGGAGACAAGGGCTGCTTTGGAGGGTGGACTCCGTGGCACTGCACACTGCTGCGGGCCCCTCCCTGTCCCCTGATTCGGCCCTCCCCAGGCTCCACCCCCAAATAGCCAGGAAATCCCCAACCTGCAGCCAACTATCTTATCAGAAGAAGATGCTGGGCTTGTAACCTCCTCTGCACCCGCTCCGTTCCAGCACACAGCACTCCAGGTGTGGGGAATGCAGTCAGTGTATTCCAGCTGGCTTTTCCGTGCGCTCCTTCGTGACAATTGTCTTCTTTTTCTTCTTCCTGCAGCGGTATTGATGGAGTTCGTGCATATGGTGCTGAGGCCCTTTGTGGAACTTACGCCTCTCGTGTCCCGCTATGAGGTAGGGCTTCCTAGCAATCGGGAAAGAAGATGTAGGTCTGGTTCAAACGTGAAAGGAAATTAGCTGGTAAAAGGCTGGGGTGGTAGCGGGACTTGGACGGCTTCAGATTGCGGGGGATGAGTTCCGCCTTCCATAATCCCTCTCCTTTGCTTATGCTCTTGAAGGCCTCTAAAAGCCCCTCACTGGTTTCGTTTTCCTTTCCAGGTGCACCACATTTCTTGCACGCACACTTTCAAAACGGATAAAGCTCGCAAGCAACTGGGCTACGCCCCCAAGAAGTATAAATTTGCCGATTGCGTGGAACATTTCATGGAAACCAGGCCCCGCACGAGGAACTTCTTTGTCCTTAAACTGTGCGTCTGCATGCTCTTCTTTGTCGGCCTGCTTGTTCTGAGCATTAAATACCAAGAGGTTGTGGACTTTCTGAGAGAACGCTGGGCGCAATATTGGGAGATTGTGTGGTAAACTAGTCGTCATCAGTCCAGTGGGAAAGAGAGCCCATCCTGGATTGCGTGATCTGCTTTTGGGTACAGTTCTTTCGTTCCAATTGTTCTGAAGCGGCAAATGATTGGAAAAGCCACAGAAGATCAGCCGCACCATCAGCTCAAAGCTTTGGGAGACTTGGTTTTTGTGTTCCACCTCTCAACATTTTGTCAGCATGGAAGAAGAGAGGTGTGAGATGCCATCAGACCTCTCCCAAAGGAACGCATCAAATGATCCTCCAAAGAGAAGTCTGGAAGATGGCCTCCTGCTGCCCCACGGATCAGAAACGGAACAGCCACAGTGCCAAAGATGTCAGAAGGAACCCCGGACAACCATAGCGGAAACAGCTCTTCCAGCCCAGGAAACATCTCTAGACAGCTTGCTTCCCAGCAAAAAGACACGAGGTGAAAATAAAATTCTGCCCAGAGGAGCCTATGCGTCTGAATCCTTTCTTGCAGTTACTACCCATTGGAGTTCCTCAGAAGAAATGGCCAGACTATTTGTGAACTAGAGGTTGTGTGAATGGAACTTGGGGAGTATAATGTAGTCCTCAATGGCAGCAGAGTATGGATCAAGGCCGGAGAAGGGGGTGACTCTCCCCACCATCTCTGCAATTAGAGATGTCCCATCGGGGACTCTGCTTTAAGTCTAGGTAGAGGAAAAAAGACGGGCCCTGACCGAAATGGCCCAGGCTAGCCGAAGCGAAGCAGGGTTGGCCCTGGTTAGAATTTGGATGGGAGACCACCAAGGAAGTCCAGGGTTGCTATGTGAGGCAGGCAGTGGCAAACCATCTCTGAATGTCTCTTGCCTTGAAAGGGATGTCGAACTCATTTGTTATGAGGGCTGGATCTGACATAAATGAAATCTTGTTGGGCCAGGCCATGTGTGTCATAAAAATGTAATGCCAAGTAACGGACATCTAAACTTTATAAATGCAATTAACTTTCACATTGCTTTCTTACTGAAAAAAACTGGATCATGAGGGCATGAACACAGTGAAAAGGGGGAGGGAACCCAGTTGTACCCAGGAGAGCCCTGGCATAAGGAGCCCAACAGAATGCATACACACTGTAGCAAGGCACACAAAAGCTCGTACCTTGAACAAAACTGTGTTGGTCTTAAAACTCTCCCACGTTCCCTTTAGTGAGGAGCCTCAGCCAGTGGAAGGAAAGAAAGGTTTCCCTTTGTCTCCTGTATACGATTGAGGCAGCCTGGCCAGGAAGTGAGCTCTGGCTGGTTCCCCCCCCCCAGGAGGAGGGGGGGAGGGAGCCTCAATCAGTGCTTTACCAGGCTCTCTCAATCGCACAGGAGAGGCTTGCCTATCTATCTCCACTGTGTGATTGAATCTGGTCATTCAAGCTGTGATGTAGCAGCAGCAGCAGAACTGGAAAAGGAAGCAAGAAACAGCCAGGGCCTTGCGAGCCAGATTGCAGTCCTCCAAGGGCCTGATCCGGTCCCCGGGCCACATGTTTGACATCCTTGACTTACATGGTCACCCCTAAGTCAACTGTGACTTGACAGCACTTTTTGCCACCACCCTATGAGTACCAGTCTTTCCTTTCCACTCTTTCCTTTCAAGCAGTGGAGTGGGAAGTGGGCATTACTGATGGACCAAAAGGCATGGAGGAGGGAACTATTCATTTTATTTATTAAAGTATTTGTTATCTGCTTTTCTTGCTATGGAGCTCAAGGCGGCTTACGATATTAATAAAACACCTAAGGAACATTAAAAAACACAAAGCCAAAATTTAAAATAATTTAGGACTACTTTAATTAAATGCAATCCTAAATAAAGCAGCTGCCTCCTAAAGACTAACAGGGAGGGGACCAGGTGCACCTCACTGGGGAGGCGGTTCTATAATCGTGGGGCTGCCACTGAAAATGCCTTCTCTCGTGTACCCACCAGATGAGCTTCTCTGGTTGATGGGACAGTCAAGAGGCCTTTCCCCTGTGATCTTAATTCCTGGGCAGGAACACATGGGAGTAGATGATCCTTGAGCTATCCCAGTCCCAAGCCATGTCGGGCTTTAAAGGTCAAAACCAACATCTTAATTTGGGATTGGGAGCAAATCAATAGCCAGTGTAATTGCTGTAATAGTGGGGTCGCATGCTTCCAATAGCTGGCCCCAACCAGCAGTCTAGCCACAGCATTCTGCACTAGATGCAGCTTCTGAACAGCCTTCAAGGGTAGCCCCAAGGAGAGTGCATTACAGTAGTCTAGTCTAGATGTAACTAAGGCATGGATCACTATGGCTAGATCTGACTGACCCAGGAATGGACGTGGCTGATGCACTAGCTGAACCTGGGCAAAAGCCCTCCAGACCTCCGCAGTCCTCTCCCTCCCCATTGTTTTATCTCAGCTCATCACGTCCATCACCCCTGGCAGCTTTTTAGAGTGACTAAATCACTTCTGGCCTGGCCCACCAAGCTCCAGAATTTGCCCTTTTAAAAAACTTGTCCACATGCAACTTGACAGGTTTCTACTCTTACACAGTACAAGACAACTTCTGTCTGAACGATCAGTATATTCTCCACACTGGTCAGTGGTTATGCAAACTGGCTAAATATGCATACCCTCCGTTTGAATGTTTGATTCTGATTGGAAAGGTCCCTGGTATTATGTGTGGGGATTTGCAGAAACCAGAGTTTTGAGGAAAGGGACAGGGAAGTAGGTGTGCGGAGGGGGACTCAGACCCCCTAATCCCGGACTCAGTGCAGACCTCCGAAGGGCTCCGAGAGCAACTAGAAGGGCAGGGATCCCGAGCAGAGGACCCGGGAGAAGGCAGGCAAGACATGGCAGGGAGAGCCCGTCCCACAGAGAGAGAGGGATGGAAGGATACCAAGTGGCCCCTGTCTTCAGGCCACAGGACGGAAAAGGAAAACCCACGGAGGTCTGGCCCGGAGGCCCCGGGAGCTTACCCCCTTGGGCCGGCCTGAGGGGTTGCAGCCATGAAAGGAGGCTGAGGAGGAGGAGGAGGTGGGGGACGGCATCCCCAGAGAAGGTGGCCCAACAGAGAAGAAGAAGGGTGGATCCCAGAGAATAAGATTGGGGAATTGGCTAGCCCTGTGGCCGCGCTCCTCTGAGGCACGGGACAGAGGGGCGGTAGTGGGGCTGGGAGATTTAAGGGAGGAAGACAGAGCAGGCCAGGGAGGAAGAACTTCAGACCTCTATGTTGGTAGGTGTGGAGCAGAGAGAGAGAGAGACAAGGAGGCCAATAGAGGTGAGGAGGGGGGAACGAGAGGACCCAGGTGAGGTAACCCCCTCCATCTCCCCTTTCTGAGGCCATACTCTGGACCTCGCCTCCCCAAATCTGACTTCCTGGAGCCCTCTCTGCCTCCCATCATCCAAGGAGAACAGGGAAAACCTGACAGTAGGCTAGTTGGGTACACGGTGGGAAGGGTGTTAGGAGAGCCCAAGAAGTAGGACAAGGCACAAGAGGGTTATTATCGGACCAATGGAAGCCTGGTGAGGGATCCTGCCGTGAGCATTCAAGGCACAGGCCAGCCTGTGCTTTGATATGAGGACAGCCCCACAAGCGATCATGTCCCTGAAATAACCCAAAGTAAGGACAAAAAAAAGGGGAGGGGGGAGACTGAACCTAAAACCTAGAATTCAGAACCTATAAAGGTTAGTCAAGAATAGAAGAGGGCCAACTCTTAAAATCTAATTATGAAACCTAAAAAATATACATGTATTTATTAAACACAAATTAAAATAACGAATAAGGGCCCATTCATACCTCATATACAAATAAAAAAACATACAAAGGCTGATGAAATAGACCTAACGTGTTTCGGCCTTTACAGGCCTTCCTCAGAGGTCTAATACAAATAGAACATGTTGGCTGATATGTAAAAATGTATACAATCATACATATACAGAATATGCAATAGAGACCAGAAAACAATTGTTCCAAAGTTTAACCACTGGGCAAAGAAGAGAAATACAAAAATACAAATACAGCCTCCGGTGCAATCACATGTCCAGTAGTACTTCTCTCTGGTCAACCTATATATTCTCCTGAGCTTGTACAGCCAAATGTTCCCAATGAAATGGATCCTCCTGGCTGTGTTGCTGCAATGCATATGCCTTGGGTGGTATTGATCGGTGTGCCTTTCACAGCCCTTGCACATGACTTTAGACTGCAAGTTGCTGATGTAGATTTGGGTACTTTTCCGGCTTGCTCGTGACATTTATTTATTGACACTTATACTTTACCTTTCTCCCCAGTGCAGACCCAAAGCAGCTTGCATCGTTCTCTTCTCCTCTGTTTTATTATCCTCACAGCTCCTCTGTGGGATAGATAGGTCTGACCCAAGGCTACTCAGTGACTTTCCATGGCGGAGCGGGGATTCGAACTTGGGACTCCTATATTTCAGTCCAACATTCTAACCACTACACCACACTGGATCTGCTATACTGCTGGGTTTTTTCACATTTGCAAGGAGAGAACTCCCCCCCCCCTTCTCTGTCCCCTGAAGCCTTTGGTGCATCTTGACATCTACCATCTAATCTCATCAAATTGGTGACCCCTTCTTATGGGTCCACTTGAAGATTGCTCCAAACAGCAGACTCAAGGTTTTCTTATTTCCCCCCTCCCCCACCTAAACCATTGGCTTCACCACACCCCCCCCTTTCCTTTGCTTGTACCAGTTGAGCAGCCTAAAGAAGAACCCCGCAGAACCTGGAAGCTTGCCCATTGTCCACGAGGTTTCGGTGGGTCCCCAAAGGAAAGTGTGGCTTATTACCCCCAGTGTTACAGAGAGAAGAGGGTTTGTTCTGGGTGTCTGTTTCTCAGATTTGACTATGCTGCTTTCTTCACTCACAGTCTTGGGCAACGATATGACATTTCTGTTAAGAACAGCCCTGTGAAAATGCAAGTCAAGAAAAGGACAATTCTGTCGGTTTCAGCAGGGGGCCCAGGGAAACCTCTTCTGTTGAAATCAATGGGGGTTTTATAGTGCATAACTCTGGGCGGATC